TTCATTTTACAAGGAAAAAGTTTCATCTTCTGTTTCATTTTGCTACCTTCATTTCATTACATCCATCAATTCGTCTCCCAATGCTACAGAATCCCTGAGACTCTCGGAGTTTGACAGCATTAATCCCTGTCACACCCTATTAAAGGGACCTATTACTCTTTAAAGACAAAGGGAATTTAGGCACATGAAGAATAAATGACATGACAAAGGTTACACAAAATGTTAGAACAGCAGGGATCAAATCTGTTATTCCAAGACTTCAGCTTAATGTCCTAATCTCTTGAGCCATCCCTCCTTACACATTCTTAATTTTAACAGAAGTAAAACACCACCTCAGAGACCTACCCTTCTGTTGGCAAACTGTGTTTTCTTATTTACTAGAATCAGTGGGCGAATTCATTTCACTAATACCTTTGTAAGACCAGGAGCATTTATAAAGAGCCCCTCTAGTAACTCACTCAATTGCTAAATGGCTGCATTATTTTAAATTATGAATTTAAAGCATATGACCTAAGATGAAACGTTTTAGCAAAGATCCTTGGTAGGAAAATAGATGTTTTTTTCTTTTCATTTACATATATAGTATCACTGATAGATGATAGTGGCACCACACAATGTATTACTAATGTTCCTGGTAAGAACAGCCACGTGTTGTGACGCTCGTTTGTGCTGATTAATTTTACTATCAGACCTTGCTTTCATTAAAGCTGCAATGAGGGTCAATCACCCAAGATTCTACAGCATCAACAGTTACGATCATTAATATTAACTACATCCAATCTGTCTCCTACATTTATCATTCATAAATGTTTCTGTAACAGTCAACAAATGCAGAGGCACAGGTACTCCAGATTCCAGTAGCTCGACCGTAGCATTGCCTTGGAAGGCTGAAAAAAGAATTTTGAGCTCATTCAAATAAGACTTCAGCTTAGGCTTAGAAGTAAACAGGGAGCTGTGCATTGGAATTGTTATTATTTAAATATTATGCCATTATATGCATACTTAAATCCCTGCACCAAAAAAACCCAACAGAAAACCTAATTTAAAAAAAAAAAATATCTCTGGGTCCGATTCATTACTGAAATTAAGTGAAATCTAGGCACTATGAAATCAATAGCATTTCTGTTATTTTGCTCTCCTGAACCTGTGACGTCAGTATCACTACTGCACCTGACTACATCACAGTCTCTAACTAAACATTATTGTAACTCCCCTCTAAGTTAGGTGCTAATGGCTAACCTCACTTTATATATGGAAACTACGATAAAAATTTTGTATTAATACAGTTATTTTCAGTGAGGCTCCCATTACCATTTGAGTACAAGCTTCACAGCTCGGCCCATAACTTACAGAATGACTTGCTCTATGACTCAGAGCTAGAGCGAGCCAAAGAGATCACAAGAAAACTCAGGTGTGAAAGAAAGGAGACAGACTTCAGAGACCGATAGTTTTCATTTTGTGCCCTGTGAGACCAGGTAAATTACTAAACAGGGGTAATTTTCTAGCACAGAATATTAAAAGTACATCTTGCATGTGAAAATTCAGCATCTACTATCAGCTGTAGAACACGAAGTGATGATATGAGAGGCATCCTCTCATAATTTCTTTATTCTGCAAACATGCTATGCACATTATAATAAACAGTTCCAAAAATAACACACTGAAATGTTTGAAACTAAGGAGATGCACTATAATGCACCACATGTAGGTAATCCTGCAGCAATGAAGGTACCTTAGCTGTAATGGATTAACGGCATTGTGGAAGAAGAAAGTTGAACTTTATGCTGAAGGGAATACAGTCAGTCAAAGAAAAGTACAGAATTCATAGCCAAAACAAGAGAGAAGGCTGTCCAAGAAGAATCAGTAGGCCAATGGTTAGGGCCAATTTAGTGAGTTCAAAAGAAAGACACTCAAGATTCTGAAAAAAACCAGTAACTGAGTATGTGTCTTGTTCTTAAGCAGTCAGGCAAGTCTCTAAAAAGTTCAGCAAGGTAAGGAAGAGAGTTTTCCATCCAGTTATTCATTTGCTAATATTGTGACACAGATAAAAATTAAACTACCTTAAAAGAAAAAAATAGAGCTGCCACATAATATTTTAGCTCTGCCAGGTAATTTCAGCATATTTATTTCATATGTCTAATGCAGCTAGAAAGAAAGATGCTTCTTCCATGGAGTAGCTCTACTGAACATGCACAGTATTTTATTCCATATTGATGTCATTCATTATGGTACAAGTGCATGAAATCTTGAAATTTTCTGTTTATTCTGATCGCAAACCTCAACTTCATTCTTCAAAGCCATTTATAGTTTAAAGAATGGCCTTTAAAGAGTGGCCTTAAGCAGTGAAAGACACTGGAAAAGTCAGAATGTTTATCTTCCATATGAATTACAAGAATGTGCTACAAATAAAAAGCAACACACAGGCCCAAAACAACAAAGCCCATTAAATCAGAACATCGAATCTGCCAGAAAAGGCCTCTCGATTTACCAGAATAAAAAGCTCCATTTATTCTACTTTCTCATAATATAATAAAGATAAATATAATTCTTATACTTAACTTGGCTTAGTTTCATGTTTTTGCATGTACTTAAGTAGAATAAAAAAAGAACATTTTACATAACAGATGTAAGAAAAGCACACCATGAGCTGTAAAAAAAGTAGATTATTCTAATAAAACTGAAGAAACCACAAGTTTACTATTTATTTAAATCAGTGTTCTGATGTAAAATACTATTTTAAAAAAAAGTAAAAGGTTTAGGATATAAAGGACACAGAAATACATATCTTCATAAATGTTTTGCCTGCCACACTATATATGCTTATAGGAAAATGATTTACTATTAAGAAAATTCTTTTATAGTAGGAACAGTAACAACATAATGTGTTCAATACTGAAAAGGTGATTTGTATTGCAGAGTTTTGCAAAATGTAGGAGATGTTTAAAGTCTCAATTATGTAGTGTAAGTAGTGGAATGAGTCAAATTAAATTAACAGGACACTGGAGACCAAAGTTGATCTCTCCAAAGATTAACACTTTTATTCGCACCATTCTTCTTACTTTTTAAGACACAGTTGGTTCTTTATGCCAAGATAGCAACGCGTGACACTTAGGAAATTATGTTATTTAAATTATGTGCACAAAATGTGCTTTTCCACTCTGGTCTCCTGAGTCATGCCCATAACTAAATATAAAACAACGCACAAGTCTTTCTCTTCTCAGCAACAGTCCCTCAAAACACAATACAAGGAGGAAAAAAAAAAGAGAAAAAAAAAGAGGAAAAAAAAAAAAAAGACAAAACCCACTTTCACCAGAAAATAATCGCTTCTTCTATACATACATATTTTTCTCCAGAACAGGCCTGGATCTTCAACAGACAGCAAACCATGCTGACATCATGAAGTGTTGCTAGCAGAAGTTGCTTTCTCCAGCCGTCTTTCCTGTGTCCTTGTGTAAGCATCAGCTTGGCTGGTAAACACCACTGTTGCTACCACCATGAAATACTGCTGTGAATAGGCATCAGTATATTGGAAAAAGCTCATGGACATTATTTTAGTTTCAGTTATAAAAGAGTTTTGCAGAAGCAATCTGCTTCTCATGGGAGATTACAAACCCCATTGCTAAGGGGTCAGTGATCAAAAAGCTCTTCAAACTACCCAGACTACCCAGTAGGTTCTAAATTTGCCACTATTCCTCCTGACTCCATATGGGTAGAAAAGTATGACTGTGCAAGGACAGACCTCTACCTAGACATCAAACAACAACCCTTGATGTCCAAGGCCAAGGAACAATAGGTAACTGCATCCTGACCATGCAGCACTATTAAAAAGAAAGGCAAATTTTCTCATAACAATATGAGAGCTGCAATTAGTTCATAAGCTTCTACAATTCCACATTGACTTTATACATATGCCTAGTAAAGTTTCACAACTGTTGATACATTCCATATATGCTCAATTTAAATGTGAATGAGTTTAAACATTTAGTGCCAATTAACAACGTGGAAACTTCTCGAGGTCTGCTAACACAAAGTTAACAAAGCTTTTGAATCCTGGGAG